CTATCATTGTAATTCCGCACCACCACCCCAACCAGATTTGGTGACATTTCCACCTCTACCCTAGCCCTGTCATGTAGCCAAGCTCATGGTTTCTCTTTGCTTAGAAAAAAACCTGTGCTTATAACTTAAAAAAAAACCCTAAAAAGTTTACTTATTGTTAATTTGACAACTAATTTTGTACAGTAGCATGTTAAAGATAAATCCTCATGTGATACAATAGTACAGCATATTCTTTTGTAGAAGAGAATCCAATTTACTAACCAGCTGAAAACAGTTGCCTTTAATGCAATTCCATTACCACAGATCAATCTATTTCTTGTTTTCAGTTAATGAATAATAATTCTTTTATAATAAGATACGATTTTTAAGCAATTTAACAAACTTAAAACAACCCAATAAACAATTGTTTGATTTTCTAAAAGTAGCACTTACTAAAAGCTCTCTAAAGAGCAGTTCTCTTGAAATTTCTTTTTTTTTCTTGTTCTATCTCTAGAGAATTTCTAAGCTCTTGTGAAGTTCTCTGTTTTTCAGCTTTCTTCCGTTCCCTCCCCCTCATTCATTCTGTCTTTTTTTTCTTTCTCTGGGACAGGAAGTAGAGGCTGTTGACCTTCTCTGGATTCATCCCAATGTCAGAAGGTGGTCTTTTCAAAAAGATTCCAAGCCCTAGATTTCTTCCTGCTTTTAGTTTTCAGATAATTGTGTCAATAAATAAGATGTAAAAGGTCTTTTACTCCTCCCTCCTCATAGCTGTATAATGACCAAATGACATCTTTAAGGTTCATTACTGGGCTTTTCAGTTTTTCCTCTCAGAGAAATAAGTATTATCTCTCTGTTCACTGGAGCTGCACTGTGTTTTTCTGCCAGGGTGGTGGCGGGCCATGGGACCCTCTGCTCCCTCACCCCAGTATGCTCTATGCTAATACTCTGGCTAGACTTCTCTGGCACAGCCAAGTTCCTGAATGGTGGCTGTTAAGATTTCCCTTTCCCATCCGGTCTAAATAGTGACCCTTTTGATTTTTAGAAAAAAGGAAATGTTATGGAAAAACTGCTTCCTTCAAATAAGCATAATAAAACTAGAAGGATACAAATGCTGCATAACATGCTCTATAAAAAGATTTTTGTGCACAATTCTTTTTAAACTTTTATGAGTAGGAGACGGCCAAGGGAACATGCCCTTTTCTCACCCAGTATCCGCATTGTGTATATTATGCCTGGAAGACCATTCGGATTCCCCTCTGCCTATTTCTGAATCTACCCATCCTTCAGTTAAATTGAAATTCCTTCATACAGTCCCCGCTGAAACTTTCCCAGATGATTCTGGTCAATGCTGTAGGATTAACATCTAGGGAAGTGCTTGGAACACAATAAAGCACTCCATAGAGAATTATTGAATGCAGGAACAAATGAATACCAGAAGTCAGGGAGGTTGCCTTACCCTGGTATATATTGCCTGTGTCACTTGCAGGTTTTTAAAATATGCTGCTGCCTCATACTCATCAGAAAAGGCCTATCTGTCTAATTGCCTGACACCATTTAAAGAGCTGTGTTTCTTCTCTTCCTAGATACTTTTATCTCCCATAGTTCCTTGCAAAGTGCCTTCCTTGTTCATGATAAAAGCTCAGTCAATGTTGGTTGTCTAATTAAAAGACTTCCACAATGGTCTATGTATTCATTCCCACCTGATTATATGCTGGCTTTGCAAAGGTGAATAAAAATTGATCTCTATCATGGAGAACCTCCTAGGGTATGGACAAAATAAAGAAGCATTTATAATCCACGGTAATAAGTGTCATCTAAATGGTTTGAGAGTAAAGCTGTGGGGGTACAGCGTTTTGAGAAGGGACAAAAGAAGGGGTGGGGAGATACTTGGGGAGGTGATCCTGTAGATCAAAATTAAGGGGTGCAGGGAAACACTCTCCTTTCATCCTTCCTGATAAGCATACTCCTGCTATTCCAAGGGTAAACGGATTACTATTAATACAGATGAGGGGCTACACCTGGTTCTAGGGCCAGGCATTCCTAGGAATCACAATGCAAATGACAAACACTAGTATTATGAGTGCTTATTCTGAAGACAGATTATTTTCTTTTATGGACTCATGGTGGTTTATGTTTCACAGTATGAGGGGAAATACAAGCTCCTATAGAGATGTGTGTAGAAATACTGTGATAATGATGGAAGCTACCATGCCAGTGAATTAGCATCCATGCTATGTGTCTTGGGATGATTTCTCCATCTGTTTAGGTGAAAAGTCAGTGTGTCAGTGCTAATAGTATTTTTCAACATTTAAATACATGTACAGGAATTTTCCTCCACCCCTTCAACAAACGTTAAAATCTTCACCTCTCCCTGCCTGTCCCTTCTGCCCTTGCCAGGCCTCTGCCTTCAGGTGATAAACACTATGGAGCCTATCAATTTCCATCTTATAAGATTTCTGTAGAGTTTATCTTTCATGGTTTTTAATAATAACAACAACAAAAATGACAATAGTTGTTTGTCCTTTCTTAAATGTAAAATCACATTTATTACTGATTTCAAACCAAGCATGGTGCTTTGGGGGTCATTTCTCCCACACCCTGCCCATCCCCCCTGTGCAGCGTTATATTCAGTCCTTTTTTTCTACAGGGCAGGGAACAAGTTCATTGACTTACCCAAGATCACATAGCTAGATAGTGGCAGAGCTGGTAGAAGCCTCATTTCTCCCCTCTGATGCCAATGCCTCTTTGTCACCCCACAATATCTTCTTTATTTATACACAAGTCAATACATATGACGGTCAAGGATGCTGCCTGAGACATACCATGTGATGCTTCTGTGTGTCTGGCAGCAGCACTCTTAGTCAGGCATTTATCTCTGCTAAGATCTAGTTCATTTCACGTTAGCAATAGTGGAGAGAAAACACAGTTCTGGGATCTTCTTTCTTTTTTCACTCTGCCCCATATTTGTACTACCAAGGGCAAAGTCACATTATAGGGATAGATAGGCCAGAATGAGACTTACTGTTGCTCCATTCCAGCCCTTTCCTAGGAGGGCACAGAATAAGTGCTATAAGGTCATAGGGTATATAGGCCTTATAAATTTTATTGAAAATCTTCCAATTCTTAATTTGTCATTTCATTCTGTAGTCTGTAATAACATAAGTTGTATAATATGAGAATATCTGAAAAACCTTAAGTCCATCTGGGAACTTTTCTTTCATAACTTATTTGGCAATCTAATAAGAGGAATAAAATGCCATTGCTATTCTTATTCTTGGTAAATTATTCTTATTGCAAGTGTGCCTGTTCTTTACATCTAAGTTAAACACCCTTTGAAAGCAGAAGAAATTTATAAGGTTGTAATCAAAGTAACTTTACAAGGTGTTGAAGCTCACTGTCTACCAACAGCCTGGAGAAGAGCATTGAAACATGTGTGTATTAGTTGCTATAACTGCTTCAGAAGCTCCCGTAGTTTATTGTTTTATTGCTGCTCATTATGATGCACAGGAATCATCACAAAGAATAAAAATAAACCAGATGTAACTGGCCCTTTCCTTTGTCATCACAGGCAACATACATCTAACAATTTTGAACTAAAATATTGTGACTATCCAACATAGCTTCTTATATATTCTTAGAAAAACAAGCAAAGGGGACAGGAGATGTTTTTTATCTGGTTGCCAGCATTCAAGGAACTTCACAAAAGACTGTTATCTAGCTTGGCAACTTGTTGGGACTGAATATGTATCAAGTTTTCCATTCTTATGGGAATATGATCACTGTATTTTGGACCTTGATTATACCCCAAAGTTTCAGATTCTATTAGCTGCAAAGAAGAATAACTGCTTGAGTGATTCTGACCTCTTGGCTATAAGATAACAGAGAATAATCATGGAAAGAGAATATTTAAAAAAAAATGACCTGATAGGCCATGGGTTTGTTTCTTTGGGTCTATTCATGGAATAAAAGAGTAATCTGATACATATTCAAACTAAGTGGATATTCACTAAGGTTTTTTTCTTATTGATGCTTATTTATTAAAAAGCTTTAATTTTGTTTACTTTTGAATTAGGCCTACCTATTGAGTGTAGTGAATTTGATAATGATTTTGTATAAAGTAGACACATGAACTTTTTGTGCTTGGTTGTCTCCAATTGGGACTGGTCATTTCTGGTCGTGAGGAAATGGCATTGTTCTAATAGCCACTCAGAGTTATTATTTTTGGCTTATTATTCTCTGTTGAGGAAACAGGAACCTGACATTTTGCTGGATTCCCAGGACCTAGGTCTTTAAAGACTGGGATTATCAACCTTCCCTAGAGAGTTGTCTGTTAGGGAAAGAAGAACATCTGGGGCTGGAGAGGCAGTTCTTTTTGCCGGAACACGAAAGAGCTCAGAAGAGCCACAAGGAGAAAATGAGAGCTAATCTACTTCCTTGTTTGCTGTCCCAGGGATTAAACACATGAAAGAGATAAACTGAAATGAAAGGAAGAGAAAAAAAAGGTGAAATTTGAACACAGTGAAAAGTTTTCCCCAACAGTCAAAAAGACTCTAGATATACACTAAAAACAAGGGCTGAAGCCTTGCTTTTAGGGGAACTAGAAGGGTTAGTGTTGGATTTCTTTGAGGACACAGAGAAATAAAACTTCCTAATGTCCCAAGTATCTTAGTTTTAGGCAGACAGAACTTTATCTTCTTAATCTAGATGGTTGTGAAGAAGGCCAAGTGTATAGGGTCAGATGTAATCTAGACACACACAAATGGAAAAGCAACATGTACAAACAAAAAGCAAGAGTAGACATTTTTTTCTTCACTGACTTAATGCATTGCATTCTTGCATTGTATTTACTGAGTTTTACTTAGAATTATTATCCTTGTCTTTAACGGATTGAATTAGGGAAAATAAATTTCAAAAATAATGTAATACATAGTAATAAAAATCCCTCTAAATCTTTATGGTTAAACACATTCACATTTGTTACCGCATTCAATGTTTCTCCTTTTTGTCTTTTAATACATCAGTTGATACATGAAACCTGTGTCCCATATATGTTAATCATAAAGCATAATATTATGATTCCTTGTGAATCCACAATCCCACCATAGAAATGGAACATTACCAGTGATTTCCATCTACCTATGTGCTTCTCTACCATCGCATCCCCTCCTTCCTCCAAGGTATGTCATTCTGCTAATTTTTTCATTTTTATTTTTTTTATTCCTTGATTTTTTAAGATATAGATTTTTAAACTGCATATATATGTATGCCTAAATAAGGCATGATGTAGTGCAGTTTTAGAGGTCTATAAATGTATAATATTCTATGTAGTCTTCTGAAACTCATGTTTTATTCACTGTAATATAATTTAACAAAATTCTAGTGTTGTGAGTTGAAGAGCTTAATTAATTTTATGTCTGTAAAGCATACTGTTGTATTGATATGCTTCAATGTATTTACTCTCTTGTCAATGGCCATTGGTATTATTTCTAGTTTTTTACTATTATGTGCAATAATGCAATTAATATTCTTATACACCTCATGGAGAACAAATTTAAGGGTGTTTCTAGGATAAACATCTACAAGTGAGATTGCTGATTTTTAGAGTATGTGAATGTTTAAGATATAATACCAAGTTGTTTTCTAAAATCATTATATCAATTACATTGATACCCAGAATATACAGGAGCTCCTATTGATCCTAACTGACTCTGACATGATGTGTTAGACATTTCAGCCAATCTAGAAGGTGTAAAATGGTAGATCATCATGACTTTAATTTGCATTTCTCTGATTTCAAAAGACTTTAAGATTCTTTCTATTTAATTATTGACTGGCTATATGGGTTTCCTGTTCTGTGAAATATTTTGTTTGTCTTTTACCCCCCTTTTTTAATTGTTACTTGTATTTTTTTCTTATTGTTTTTAGAGTCATTATTTTTGATTTTTAGATATAATACTTTGTTTCTAAGCATTACAAATATTTACCCTCATTTTGTTTTTCGAATTTTTTATACTGTTTCTATAAATATAATATTTAAATTTTAACATGTTCAAATACTTCCATCTTTTATTTTCTAAGAAAGAAATTTTTAGTGTTCTTTAAATATTATTTATGGATATCTACTTACAATGCCCCTCCAAGTTCAGAAATTTATCTCTTTATGTTTTTATTTTAAATATTTCAAATTTTTCTTTTCATACTTAAATCATTAATCCATCTAGAATTGTGTGTGTGTGTGAGAGAGAGAGAGAGATGGAGTCAGAGAAAATGGATTTAATATTACCTTTTTCTATAGATAAACAATTTTTCAGGTATAATCCCCTTTTAGTGTATTCTTATAATTTTATGTTACATCAGCATCCATTATGAGCATAAATTGGACTTCCCCATATCAAAATCAGGGCTTAGTCACCCTTGACAAGGCTTCTAGTTCTGTACATCCTGCCTCCTGGTGACCACCTTCCTATTATGGGACAGCTGGATACAACCTATTGACTTGCCCATATCCGTCCCAGTGTGATTCCACAGAACTAGTTCTTGCTTGTTCCAAACCTACCAATTAGGCAAACCTGCTGAGGTACCACCCTGGGCCCCAATAAGGCTTTGACCCACAGGTCCCTTGCTTTCTCTCTCTGCTGCTCCCCACTCACTGGTTAAATGTGAGTGGGCTGGATGGCTCCCTCCTTCCTGTTGGCCTTGGGAGGGTGCTGCCCTCTTCTCTCTGAATCTGTGAATAATAAAATGCTTCTGTTATTTCATGTGTTTTGTTGAGTTGCTTCCTCTGTGTCTCACCTAACACACTGGAACCTAACTCTCTTCCTGGTCAGGGCTCTCCTAGAGAGTGGCTGACTTGGTAGGAATAAACTGAACACCGGTCAGACAAGAGCCACAAGGGCATCTGCCAGGATAAACAAATTTCCTGTGAGAGGTACACTGATCATGAGTCAGACACTCAGAGATTAGGCCATCTACAAGGATAAGAAGTATCCCTTGAAAGTCACCTTGTGTACATCCACAACCATTTCCCCTGGAGCCCTGTCAGACCAGGGCTAGAGTTTATAGCCACTCTCTAGAGACCTCAAGATCAAATTAGAGGAAAAAGGAACATCTCTTTCCTCACTGTTCCTCACGGGAGCCTTTACCACACATCAAAGTTCTATGTTCATGAGATTTTTCTGGGCTTTCTCTTTTAATGGTTAATTTATCTACTGCTTCACAAAAATGCATTATGAGTATTTAACAACATTTTTTGATATTTGAGTGGGCCAGTCTCTCATCTTGTACTCCTTCTTCAACAATCTCTGTCCACTATACTTCCATATACATTTTAAAAGAAGTTGTCAAGTGTCTTGAAAAACTGTTGGCATTTTGATTTTAATTGCATTGACCCTATGGTCCAATTTTGAGATCACTGATATTTCTACAATATTGAGTTTATGTGTGAACATGATATACCCTCTACTTATTTAGATTTTCTTTAATATCTTTCAATCATGTTTTATAATTTCCCACACCAAGGAATAACACACAAATGTATATAACACATGAAGATGTACTTCTTTGTAATAATATAGATCCTGTTGCTTTTTAAAATGATAATTTAAAAAATATACATATTCTAAACTTTTCCATGTTTGCTAAACACTTTTATTATTTGTAATAATTGCTCTATTTTTAGAGGGTTTGCTGAGTAGACAATCATCTGCAAAAATCTTCATTCGTCCCCATTGGGGTGGAGCTCCCGTTCAAGGGGAAGAGAAGTGATAACAGTTTGTCTCCATTAGGAGTGCTATTTACTATAGGTTTTTGTATAGCTATGACTTTTTTAGACTAAGGTAGTTCTAGTCTCTTCCTATTTTCCTAATGTTTTTTTTAAACATAAATGGACATTATTTTTCCAAATGTTTTTCTGCATCTCTTGAGATGATCATACAGTTTTTCTCCTTTAGTCTATTAACAAATACTATACAGATTTAAAATGACATATATAGACTTTCTAATATTAATATACACTTTTATTGCTGGGATAAACCCAATTTGACTAAGGTGTTTTAAGTTGTTTTATATGGCTGAATTATGTTTGCATCTATGTTTATGAGTGAGATTCATTCTTTTCTATCTTGGAAGAATTTACAAGAGATTGAAATAATCTGTTTCTTCAAAGTTGATTAGAATTTTCTCTTAAAATCATATAGGCCTGGTGTTTTCTTTACAGGAGGATTTTAAACACTTTTTAAAAAGAATATTATAAGATTATAATTTTTCTTGATTCAGTTAAGTTATCCTTTTCTAGTAATTTTTCCATTTCATTTAATTTTTCAGATGTATTAACCTAAAGATTTAGGTTATTGTATTCTCTTATTATCTTCTTAATCTTTATTGGTGATTATATTCCATATTTTATTTTCAATATTATTTATTTCTTCTCTCTTTTGACTTGATAGAGGGTGATATATTTATTTTTAGAGTTTTCAAACAATTAACATTTTTGTTGATTCTCCCAATTTTATATCTACTTTTTATTTCCTTGATTTTTGATTTTATCTTCAAGATTTCCTTTTTTGATTTTGAATTTATATCATTCTTTTTCTAATGCCTTAAGTTGGATACTTCTTTATTAGAAAGTTCTAAAGTTTTCTATATTTAAATAAAGACTTAAAAGGTCAATTTAAGGTCAATAGGTCAATACTGCTTTTAAAAATAAATTCTATATATTCCATTGAGATTGGGTTTTCACACTAATGCCTGTTCCTAAAGCCTGTGCTTTGGAACCCTGATTCCCTGAGCTCTCAGTAATAACTCTAACACTTAATTGCTCTGTCATCTAGAGTATGTTATTTATTTGTTAATGCCTCAGCCTTTTTCCTCTATCAATTTGTTCCTAATTTGTAAATTGTTTTGACCATTAAATGAAAAAATGCATATAAAGAGTCCAGACCTGGTGCTGACATATAGTTAGTGTTCAAAGAGCAGAAATTACAGATATTTGCAAAGATAAATTATAGACAGGCTGTGTAATTTTCCATATCCTAAAAGTATTCTTCAAATCTATGTTTGAATGTTAAGATTCTCATAAAATTTGCAATATGAAATGAATGAAATCAAAATTGAAATTATATAGCCTATGTAATTTGACATGATTTTTGACCTTCTAATAGTTGTTAAAAGTGCCTGTCCAGAGAACTATGATATTGCTTTGCTAACAGTCTGTGAAGATACCCAATGGGCCAAAGCTCTTGAGTTTTTGTGAAGCATAAGTTTTGAAGCAAATTAAATATAAGTAACTCTAGTTTCTATTCTCCAGATAAATGGTATTATAACTCAGTATTGTGGGACAATATCAGGGCAAGGCAGCCTGTTTTGTATAAAAAGTGGCAATTGAATTTCCCTCAATTTTTCTGTAGTTTATATAAAGTATCACCTAACAATAAATTCACTTGTGCTCTGCCACCAATTCAAGCTCATTTTTCCCCCTCAGTGAACAAAGTTACTTCCTCTTGTGGAAGAATTTAATAAAACATTGGAATAAAATAATCCTTTGATACAGCTGGAAAAGCAGAAACCACATTTGTCCTATCTGACTACATAAGTTATAAAAGCACTTCAGAAATAAGTAATTTATTGCCCAAAGGGTTTTTATTTATTTTTTTAAGTAACTCATACAGATTAGGAGAAAATATTTGCAGATAATATATCTGATAAGTGGTTAACATTCTGGAGATGTAAGGTACAGCAATAGGAAAATAGTAAACAATATTGTATTGTGTATTCAAAATTTGCTAAGAGGGTAGGTCTTTAGTGTTTTCATCATAAAAAGAGAAAATGATAACTGTGTGAGCTGAAGGATATGTTCATTAGCTTCATGTAGCCATTATTTTTCAATGTGTATGTATGGAAACATTGCACCTTAAATATATACACCTTAAATATATACAATTTGTATTTTTCAAAAGAAAGAAAGAAGGAAGGAAGAAAGGAAGTCAGCAAAGTCCCTGGAATGCTCCCTAGCAGATCCCACCCTGAAGCCACTCCCAACCTCACTGGGTGACATCAGCCTGGGCTCTTCCCTAGAGGGAGATCTCAGGGCTGAGGAACAGCCATGGAGCTCTTGTACTCTGGGGACCACAAAAATCCCAAAAGTTTCTAAGCTAACACCCTTCAAAATATTGAGGCCTGTGGAAAACCTACGCACGGAAAGTCTGTTTCTATTTCAGTTGTGTATCAGTTAAGATGGAAAATTTTTAAAGTCCACACAGATGGTAAATAAATTTCTGCTACATGAGGCAGTTCCTGGAATAAAGTAATTTTCTCAAATAACAAGTGCCAACTTATTTTTTCAGCAGGACTTATTTTTAACTTTCCCAGGGAATGGTTGAGAGACGGAGAGTATCCTTTACCTTAGGAATCCGAGTCGCCTTCCAAAAGAAACTAGTGCTGTTCTCACTACAGACCTATATATATGTATACACACATATGGTACCTGGAATGAAGGGAGTTGTTCATTCACTTTCTTGGGGGAGGGAAATGAGTGACAGAGTGAGAAGATAGACATTTTGCAGACATATTTCTGTTTTCATCCAATGTTTGGTTTTCTATAACTTACTCCAAATAGCGTGAAAGTGATTCATATTCTTACTTAGGAATTTGTTAAATATCTTGGACAAATGACCATTAATCTTTCAGAATTCTTTACACAGTGTGAGAATTGGCCTGTGTCCTCAGAAGTCTCCAGCAATAGTCCCCTAGGACACACTTGAAAGCCCCTAATGCTTTGCTGGGTCATGCTTCATTGGGGAGAACCAGCCCTGGGCTGCAATTGGCAAGGAATGCTAGTGTCTTAAACAAAACTATGCCATTTGCCAAATCAGGGTGATTCAAACATTCCTTCTAGTAGCAGGGATTCCCTATTCAGAAGAAACACAAAAATTCACTATTAAATAATTAAATTGTGTTATAACCACTAATAGCTTTATTGAGGGTATCACAGCAGAATGCTAAGTAAATATATAGCCATTATACATTTCCTTCCTTCCTTCCTTCCTTCCTTCCTTCCTTCCTTCCTTCCTTCCTTCCTTCCTTCGCCTTCTTCCTCCTTCCTTCATTCTTCCTTCTTACTTCCTCTTTTCCTGCCCCTTCCTTCTTTTTTTCTCCTTCCTTCCTTCCTTCCTTCCTTCCTTCCTTCCTTCCTTCCTTCCTTCCTTCCTTCCTTCCTTCTTTCCTTCCTTCCTTATTTTATTCCTTTCTTTCTTCACTTTCTCTTTATTTTTTGGTAAAATATTTCACTCAGCTCTACTATAAATTAAAAGAATTGTTTACTTAGTGCCTGCATACTAGTCACTTTAGGAGTAAGGAGAAAAAAAAAACACTTGCCTTTGCCTTAAAGAGTTGAAAAGACAAATATGAAGGAATTAGAGAACCACTAAATGCAGGCCAGGGGGCCATATGCTAACGTGATATAGTGAGAAAGATACCCAATGCTCAGGTGGGCTCTACGAATATACCGTCTACATGAAAACAGGAAAACAGGCTTGTAGTAGAGAATTTTTGAAGTTCTGTGACACTGTATAATTTTTCAGTTGCAATGACACCTTTTGTTGTGTGTGACCAATTCTAGAGCCTGAAAATAAACACTGACAAATAAACAACAATCATTCTGTACAAACAAGCGTCATTTACTACAACCAAGTCTGTGGGGATTAGAGGAAAGAGAAGCAGAAATAAAGGTTTTCTAATTGAACACCCTTCCTTGAATAATGAAGAAAGGCTGAGAAGGTGACTGGCTTGCTCTAAGTGACAGGTGCTGTCAGAGCTGGGACAAGAACAACAATGTTCCATGAACTAGCTCCGTAGCCTTCCATTGTAACATAAGGAACAATGACAAGTTCAGTGTCACACTGCTCTGTAGTATATATATGAACTTGTCAACCTTAGTTATCAAGAGTGAAGAACCTCCAGGATTGCTATGGTCTGAAAGTATGTTGTACCTCCCTACTCATATGTTGAAATCTAATCCCCAGTGCAATGGTCCTAGAAGGTGGGGCCTTTGAGATGTGATTAATGCCTTTTATTAAAGGCCCAAGAGAGACTTCTCACCTCTTTTACCATGTGAGGACACAGTAAGAAGGTGCCATCTATGAACCAGGAAACTGGACTTTACCAGACACTGAATCTGCTGGTGCCTTGATCGTGGACTTTCCAGTTTCCAAAACTATGAGAAATACATTTCTGTCATTTATAAGCTACCTAGTCTGTAGTATTGTGTTGTAGCAGCTTAAAAGGCTAGAACACAGCTTAATTCCCTAATTTTTTTTCTTAGTTTTCTTTTATTTGGCTATTAGATTTGCTGTGATTTTATACCAAATCAAAGTGTAGGTAATAAGCAATGAATGAAAACATACTTTGATAGTGATGTAATTAAAATGGCATTTTTCATAAACAAAAGAGATAAAGCTATAATTTCATTTTAAAAAGCATTAGCTTTCTAAATATTTGAACCTGTTTTTCTTTCTTGCCTTAAATGTGTTAAATACTAGGGCTGAATTTTAAAAAAGGTGTTTCCTATGATATAGAACAGATATCTTAAAATTAGAGTTTGTTTCAGAATATCTTTACTCTGGAGAAAACCTCGATTTTCAATTTTGGTTCAAAAGAACTTTAATCTTCTTGCTTTGAGGGCCCAGCAAAAGGACATCTTTTATATCAGGGCTTTGGCTAAACATAGTGGTTAAAATAATGAATTTCCTGTTATTCTTAGCATGTGCCCAGAAGCCATGGAGATTTTTGGACTTACTTAGTGAATTAAAGAAAGAAAGTGAATAAAAGACCCTCTTATGAATAGAAACCATAGAAAATAAAGATTATAAACAGTAGTAGTTTCACAATGGACAGAAAGATATAACTGCAACTACAAAGTGTCCTCCAGATATGGGGAGACTCCTTGCTGTGTTGCAGCTCTGAGATAAATTGGAAGAAATACAAACTTGAGACTGATACTCAAATCCTTAGAATGACATACTATGAATTGAGTTATATGAGGTTAAAAGTAAGACCTCAATGACTGACAAGTGTTGGGTATGTGGCCTCAAGATCTGAATTTGTGCTGTGAAAGAGACCACAGATGTTGTCTTGGAAAACTAGAGATGAGTGAAATTATGCAGGCTCTAAGAGAATGAACCTAAATTCCCATCATCTCCTTCAATTTGGTATTTTCTGTAGCTTCTACATGCTTGGATCATTATTTCCTAATCAGTTATCCATTGGATTCTGAACAGGCATTGCTAAACTTCCATAAGATATTCAGTGTACCACTTGCTAGGGAATATGAAAAGTGAGCAGGTTGCCTCTTGAAGGAAAAAGAAGCTATAGGGGTGAATTGAGATGAAGGAAATATATCCATTG